AAGAACAATTATAGATGTCAAGGTAGATTCAAAACAACAAAACGATATGGAAAGTCGATGTAAAGAAACAAAATTAGAAATAGGATGTTGATACAGTTACGAGTACCATTCCTCGATGCAATAGACAAGTCCGAAGAGGAAGTAGCCAAAGGCACAGAAGGAAGGACCTCAATAGAATCCGATAATGGCCGTAGAACAAGAGCATAGGACACAACCTGTATGTTCTTGGACTATTGAGAAACCTTTAATGGGGTTAACAGATGAATAAGAAGGTACACAATTTGGTATATTGGCAATAGTAACTNAGCATAGGACACAACCTGTATGTTCTTGGACTATTGAGAAACCTTTAATGGGGTTAGCAGATGAATAAGAAGGTACACAATTTGGTATATTGGCAATAGTAACTCCCCTGACTAGAAGATATCAAATCTAAAAATAAATTTTGTCCTGAAGCAGGAAAGAAGGGGGAGGACTTAAAAGAAGGTAACATCGACACTCACATAGTATTGGTGAGAGTCGGGGTCATAACATCGATAACCTTGTGTAGTACAAGAATATTCCAGAAAGACACACTTGATCATACGGGAGGAAAGTTTGTCCCGACCTCAACCAATAAGAACAAATACAACACAACCAAAAATGAGTAGTCAGACTAAATGGAGACGAAGTAGGATAAAGTAATGAGAAGAAGGATTTGTTACTTAAGATTGATGAGAGCATCCGATTAATAAGATAAATGGAAGTATGAAAATGTCACCAAATAGTGTTTGGGAACAGGTATTGGCAGTAATTGCAACACAACCAAAGACACAATGAGTCAAACCAAATGGAAGTAAAAGGCATTGCCAGTAATTGGAAGTTTCTCACTAGCCAAAGTCTGATCTTTGAACACGTCATATTTTGAATTAAGAAGTTTCTCACTAGAAAATGAAAACGTTTTGACATGTTTCGAAAACAGAACAGAAATGAATAAAAAATTTGATCGATATACGAAAGCATCTTTAAACACCTTGAAATATTATGAAATAATTGTGTAAACGCATCGAAACAATAGAAACACCTCGAAACATTATAAAATACCTTGAAGTATTAGAATTTTGATTACATTCCTGATTCGTTTCGCTCTACTTGGAAACGAAAACGTTTCGGCTGTTTCGAAACAAAATGTTAATCGTTGCACGGGGTTGTCCATGTCTCCATGTAAGATCTATGTGGCCTTCCCGAGGTCAGTCACTTGTAATGAAATTACAAATGATTAGCAATTAGGCTGTTATACATTGTTGCCAGTTGACTATTTGGAGTATGTAGATGTGCATATGTCAACCTATTATAGTTTTTTGGATTCGCTGTCTCATGATTATAGAGGAGCGGCAATCTAGAGGAGTTGCTATCTAGAGGAGTTCTGAAGCACTAGGGCAGACTGTCAGATCTCCTCTCATGTCGTCCTCTGTCTTCTTCTCTCTTGCTTTATTTCTCCCTTCTTTTCACAATTCATTCTCTTTTTGAGGCATATACTGAAGCCATTGTTCTCACACAACAGTTTTCATCTTTTTTCCTCACCACATTTGGAAGACTGCCTTGCTCTTTCTTAGGTATGTTTCTTTACTCCATTCATTCTCTCTGTTCCAATTTTTTTGTTTTCGGCTGTTGTTTGTCCATCTATTCTGTTCATCAATCTCTACATCACTCCATAATGATTGAGATTCCTTTTTATGTGGTGAACTTTCATATCTCCATATCAAAAAACAAAACTTTTATACCTAACCTTTATAATAAATGACCAAAATTTTGACCTACACATCAGTTGATTTGCAGTGTTGTTTCTGTCACTTTAATTTCCATTGCTTTCTGTTTCTTTTTGTCAAATATTGCTTGCTTCTGAACTGAAATTTCAAGTGTGAGAATAACTTTGTTCTTTTTTTCTTGCATAATTCTTTTTGTTCAATTGGTTTTGCAGCTAAATGCTGCTAGATATGTATTTTCCATCAAATCTTTTTGTGTGTGTATATATATATATATATATTTTGTTGCACTTGTAATTAAAGACCATTGCTTTGCATAAGGGGAAAATATTGGGCTCTCAAGAACACAAGTTCATGGCTTAGAGCCAGCCACTTGGTATGAAAATATGCCAAAGTTCGTGTTTCTATCCGATTCCTTTCAGGCCTTGTGAATGCAACGAGCCACAACTGAGTAATGGCCTTTCAACAGTGATTACTAGTCTGTTGGTAGATGAACCTCCATGTGTTTCTTGAAGGATGGTTGAGGCATTAAAATTATTGATGATGCTAACATGCTTTGTGCAAGATGCATGGCTGTGAAAGTTATGTCCTTCCCCTTTTGCATATTTGAATCATTTATGTCCTTGTCAGTGAGTCCATGGTATATCTTTTGTTGTCTAAAGCGAGGAAACGTAACAATGGGTGTATTGTCTTTTGTCACTTGTTTTCTCAAATCAGGTAATGTTGGTCTAGTAGAGTTTCCGAATCCATGCCTCTAATGTTTAGGCCATAGAGAAACTGAAAGGAAGCTCCTAATGGAGATAATTTGTTTCCATTCTTGGTGGAAAACAAACAAGTCTATAGAAGAGAAGAAATCCTGTTGAAAAGAGAAACTAAAACCACAAAATCATCTCAAATTATTCTTTGTGAAATACTACCTAGAAATGGCTACCTAATAGCTATGAAATTAAAATCTCGAAACCGCCCCAGTAATCCAAGAGAATTATGTATAAATATCTCAACTGGGATTTTAATTTGGTAGGACTTAAAAAGTTCATTTTGTTTTTGAGATTATGTATGGTAAGGATCATTCCAGCATGAGAGGAATTGGGCTCTTATGGGAGATTGACTAATGGGAGAGCATCATATGGAAATTGCAAGGTGTTACATAAGAATCAGAGTGCGACTGATAACTGTAACATACATCTCAAGGAACTATGGGGAAGGCATTACAATTAGAGCTGGCTTAAATAAACTGGCACACCTGAGAAGCTGGATAAACTAACCTTATGCCAATTAGAATGCCCAAGACATGAAATCCACCTGTCATCCAGATAGGAAGTGATTTTGAGGACTACATGGAAGCTAGTACTTCAGGTCTAAATCAACTTGATGACTATATTGAAGATAGTCTCCATCTTTAGTGCTACCCACCTTCATTAATTTGCTCCTATTTTGATTCTTTCCCCCAATCTGGACCATTTTCTCCCATTTTTTGCTCAATTATCTGCTCATCTTTTATCTGTCATGAGTGCAAAATTTGATCAAGTATGTTTAGTTTATGACCGCATTTGATAGCTTAGCTTGATAAGAGTCAAATTTGAATTACCTTACGTGATATTGATGCTTATTTTCTTCTAATAGTCTTGGTTTGGCAGCCTATTAAGTGCAAAGGTCTTCCTTGGGTTGTAATCTTTTGGTTTCTTGGGATCCAGTCATTGACAAAGTAGATAAATATTGGATTGGTGGAAGAAGACTATATTTCAACTGGAGGAATTAAAGTTAATGTAGTCTGTCTAGTCAAAATTCCGATTTATTGGCTTACAACATGTTGTCTCTCAACAAGAAGCTTTTTCTTGCATACTTAATACTCTTCTTACTGCTTTGGAAGATCTTGTTTCTGAAATCTATCAGAAGCTTAAAGACCTTCATCAGCAGTTGTTGCACATAGTGAGTTCTGTGAAAGATGTCGAACAGGCCTCACAGTTGATTGCTGAAAAAAGATATCTTCAAGTCCAACTGTCATGTTTGCAACAGTAGCTCCAGAAGGAAACTCCTGCTCCTCCTTTGAAAATTGGATCTGCCTATACCAGGAAATATCTAGAGTTTAGGTGTCCTTCGGATTCTAAATGTGACTGTAAGCCCAAAAAGAAATCTCATTTCAAAACCCATAGCTTCCAAAAAGGTTCTNTCCTTTGAAAATTGGATCTGCCTATACCAGGAAATATCTAGAGTTTAGGTGTCCTTTGGATTCTAAATGTGACTGTAAGCCCAAAAAGAAATCTCATTTCAAAACCCATAGCTTCCAAAAAGGTTTTCACAAAACTTTTTGCAAATGATGGAAATTTCATTGAAAAAAGAAATTTCGGGACAAAACTGCTGATCGTTATCTTTGCAAACAAAAGGGGCATTTTGCCAAAAATATAGCCTCTACCCTTGAAGAAATTGATATTGAATCCATCTTCTCTCTTGATGATGTCCCTTCTCCTGAGTCAGTCTTGGCTCGTGCCTTGACAGGGAAACCTCTTCTGGTGAAAANATCTTTGCAAACAAAAGGGGCATTTTGCCAAAAATATAGCCTCTACCCTTGAAGAACTTGATATTGAATCCATCTTCTCTCTTGATGATGTCCCTTCTCCTGAGTCAGTCTTGGCTCTTGCCTTGACAGGGAAACCTCTTCTGGTGAAAATCTTTTTATGGTTCAACCATCTGATCAGCCTTACCCTTCGGCTCGTGTCCAAATTCTTCTTAACTACTATTTTTTACCTCTTTCTGCCATTACTTTCTTTGACATTGGAGTTGCTGCATCTATCATCAACCCGTCTCTTCTTCCTAGTTTACACTGGAAACCCTTCTATCAAGTTTTTCGAGTGGCAAATGGGAAAAAAGTTTGCAATTGACAGAATCAGTAAACCAATTCTGATCCGTCTTTTCCCTAATATTACCCTTAAAACATCGAGTCATTAGTTCTTCCCTTCCAGTTAAAGAACTTTTAATTGGTTTTAATCTCTTGCATAACTTACCTCGTCTTTGCTGGACACCCGAAGGGCTTCAATACCGCAGTCATTCCCTTCCTTGGATTCAGAGTCCAATTTATACATGGTTGAAGTCTTTACCTCCCTTAAGGCTCAAATCATTAAAACTTCTTGTGCTGAAAGTCATACTGAATTCCTAGCCAAATGTTCTCATCATTTGTGGGAAAATCCTGATTTCTTTATCAGCCTACCTTTCGAGAAAAATGAAGATATTAATCTAACAAAGGTTAGTCATAGTGGGATGACACCTGAACATTATGTCCTTGCACAACTTCCCCATGGCCTTGTGAAGCACTTTATGTCAACAAAAGAACTGAACAAATTAGAGGTAAAATGAGATTGGTCATCAATTATCAACTGCTCAAACATTTTCTTGCTGATGACAAATTTTCCTTACCCCACCAAGCTCCTTTATTCCAAAATCTATCTCATGCCAAGGTCTTCTCTAAATTTGATCTCAAAGCTGGGTTTTGGCAGTTACGAATTGAATCTTCAGAATGGCCTAAAACCCTTTTTTGTATTCCCAACTATCATTTTCAATGGACCGTACTTCCTTTTGGCCTCAAAACTGCACCTCCTTTCTCCCAAAAGACCATGATCGAAATTTTTGATCCTATGCTCGCTCATACTCTCGTATATATTGATAATATCTTGTTATTTCCTCATGATATTTCTGCCCATGAAAGACTGCTGTCTCAATTTCATGATATTCCATTCCTCTCCCCCGGCGGGTGATAAGGCACTTTTATGGAATGGCCCAAGTGGAATGTGGACCCCATACATTAGGCTGGTTTTTTTTTTCCACTTGGTCTCTGGGGGGCCATATGTTTTCTTCATTTTTTTGGCTCTTTTGAGCTTCTTGTTTGTTGGCCATAGTGAGACCATGTGCTGGACCAATTTGAGAAAGTTTTTTTCCAGTCTTCAATATCAGAAAGATGCATTCCACGGATTGGAAAGAGTTATGGTTCTGTGGGACTGCCTATGCATCAATTCTTGCATCTGATTGTTATCATGGCCATAGTTTCTTGGATGGGCCTTCGCACTACAACTTCTTGTTGGAGTCGTGCTTTAAATCACGTGCCTAGTCTTTGGGCTGTGAGAAATTTCTTAGTGGTAGACATGATCTGTCCATTTTGCATTCCTCATATAAGAGAAATAAATTTTAATTGTATAATTAGATATAGGTTATTCAACATGCCGTCAACGTGTCCATGCTATACATTTCAGACAAATGACGTATCCATGAGTTCTTGTGTTATAACAGAGTCTTGTGCTTGGATCCGTGCTTCATAGAGTTTAAGTTGACTTCGTTATTATGAGCCTCGTGTATTTTGTTTCCTCTTCCGTAAGGTCATGACAATTGTTATTAGATGAACTTCTTCAGTGGCTTGATTAAAAAACCTAATTCATTGAAATTTTGATCCTACTTTTGCTCAAGGTAATATGCGATGTCCCCCTTGCTTGAAATGAGAAACCTCCATACTTAGAGCATCTCCAATAATGTTTTCTATTTTAGAGATCATTTTTTTTTTCTAAAATAGAGAACATCTGTTATAAAATTTAAAATAAAGAGTGAAATTTTGTATACAACTCCTATAGGGCTCTCTATTCTAATTATTTCATAATTTTTGTTTCATCATTTTTAGAAACAAATTGTTTTCCCTCCCATTTCCCTCTATTTTCCTACCTAACCCTAATATTTGATTTCCTATAGCATTTCCCATTGTGTATGCCTTTTTTATTCAATAATAAAAGAATATAGGGTAAGTTTGGCTCTCCAAATGTGGAGAGCCAACGAGGCATCTCTCTTTTAGCTTTTACAAATTGGGAGTTTATAGGATGTTGATTTTTAGTAGTGGACCCTCAAAAATAGAGAATTGAGAAGGAGTGGAGGGCTTCTTGTTGACACTCTTATTTGCTAATATCCACATCTTGATTGCTGTGGGCTCCATCTTCAGTAATAGCAGGGCTGATCGAAGTTGAATGTTCTCGGACTTCTTTACTTTCCTATNGGAGGGCTTCTTGTTGACACTCTTATTTGCTAATATCCACATCTTGATTGCTGTGGACTCCATCTTCAGTAATAGCAGGGCTGATCGAAGTTGAATGTTCTCGGACTTCTTTACTTTCCTATATAAGTTGAGGCTCGAAATATCACCTAAACTTGGATCAGCATAATATATTGTTCTAAAGTTACGTTTATATTTACATGCAATTGCTCTATGATTGTCAGGTTGGTGCATGGTGTGGGGTATTGTGCGGTGGGTGTACACTCTTTCTCTCAAATATTTCCTCGGGCTTTGTTGTCTAGTCTATATGAAATGCTTCACATTTTGCCTATTCTGATGGTCCCAATATAGCATTTCATCAACACACTTCATGAAGATTGTTCACTACAGGTGGTGATTTTTTTTAGTGCCCATGGGGTGCCACTTGCCTATGTGGAAGAAGCTGGTGATCCATACAAGGCTGAGATGGAGGAATGCGTGGATTTGATCATGGAGGAATTAGAAAAGAGAAAGATAACAAACGCGTATACCCTTGCTTATCAGGTACATAGTTAGGAACCTTTATCATGCTTATGATTTCTAAATGCATTTAAAGCTATCCATCAAGGTTACTAATTGAAACGAGGGCATTGAAGATTGAAGGAACATATATGCCGCATCTGTTGGAGGATTGCATACTTTTTTTTTGGGATTTTAACATTGCATTATGAGTCTTGAAAACATATTGTTTGACAAACAGTGCTGGAATTTAGCATAGTATCGATATCAGAACCTATGCTATGAATAGTCAACAATGAATTCACTAATGAAAGTTTCACCAGAAGAGAGGTCAAAACTTATATAAATATTGTGGAAATAATACAATAGAATTTTGTTCTGGAAGGCATGGAAATGCTGGGATAAGACATGGGAAAACTGCTAGATGTACTTTCAAGAGCATTATATTTCTGAATGGAGCAAATTTGCTCACTTGCTGAAGCTAAACTTTGCAACTAATGGAATCAATCTTTTCAGTGTTTGCAACTAATAGAGCTATTAAATATTTTTGGTTGCTAAACTTTAATTGTTTTCGCTGTTCTAATATTAGTTGTCTTTTGGTACTTTAACTTTTTAAGAGAACTTTTTATGTTTAGGTAATAGTTGGAAAGTTTAATTTCCCCATACTTTGCACATCTTATTTTAATTTTTCATCTTCCGTAACTTTGCATAAGAGTTCAGATTGAAAAAGCAAAGTGTGGATTTGGAGTGTTTTAGAAAAATAAGCAAATCAATCAACAAATAGTGGTTTTGACCAAACATCTTTTTCCTAAGAAAGCCATTGATTTTTCGAAGTGGCCTTATATTCTAGGACATCCCAAACTTGAAACAACCTTTTCTATATGAAAGAGGGAGTAGAGTTACAAACCACTGCAACCAATCCTTTCTTTTGAACATCTTCATTTCTCAAAAACAACATTAATGCCATCATTGCCACGGACAAAACCAGACATCTTCGGTGTGGGTAACAGTTAAAATTCTAAATGTTCAGAAACATATAATTTCATTAATGAAACGCTAAATAAAGGTGCAATCCATATACATGAGTGATATACAAAAAGAGTCAAAAAAAAAGTTCACTATAAATTTATCTATAAGCCCTGACGAAAAAATTTTGAACCAAAAATTGGGCTCAATCATATATTGAGTCTATACATGGGAGAATCCAAATTATCGAACATCCTATACATATTCATAGTTGTTCCCGATGAGTTTTCATATTTTGAAAGCCTTGTATGATAATTTCATTATCAATAGTACTTAAAATTTCTTTTTCGACAAATATAACCAAACAATCATTCATCTATCAATCTCACATCCGATTGCGCAATTAATTTTTTTAAAATTAGTTTGTTCAGTCACAAATTTAGTATTAATCTGGGAATTTTAACAAACACGACTATTTTATTAAACTAAACCTAGGTATGGGAATTACTTAACCTATCACAATAAAACTATTCAAACCATCAAATCAAAACAATTTAATCTAACACATAATGGAGGACTACACGCCCTAGTTCCAATTCAACATATAAGAATAAAACAAAAGAGTGGACTGCAAGCCCCAATATCAATTAAATATATATAACAAAAAAAACATAGAAGAGGACTACAAGCTCCAATTTCATTTCAACATAAAAAAATAAATATAGGATTACAAGCCCCAATTTCAATTCAATATATAAAACAATATAACACAGAGAGAACTACAAGTCCTATAAATTTTTTAAAACTTTTCAGTGGGGGCAAATGTCTAACAAATTCTAAAATTTTTGAAATTATACTTGCACACCAAATATTTTTAAAATTCCTGGGCAGTTGCTCCCATTATGGATCCACCACTGATCATAGCACAATGGTGAAAGTGCAAACTAGCATTATTAAGGGAGGTGTGGGGTCAAAGGTTCAAGTTGCATTGCTTACTAGTAGAAACAATGATTCTACTATTTTATTCATTTGGAAATAATGTGTCCAAGAGTTAATAGGATGGAAAAGATGTCCAACCATAAAAATGGAAAAGGTAAACTCAAATCATAAAATATTAGGGGCACATGAGGTCTCTGGTTTACCAATATAGAAAAAAGCGGGACACCATCAAAAAACGATCCAATCCCATAAACATTACTTTCAAATAGAGGTGGAGCCATAAACTTTTTTTAGGGTGGGCACGATAATTACATATTCTAATTTTTTTTCTCCTAACAAATCACAATAAATAATACATTTATATTATCATATCGTATTTGATACATGAAATCCGTTCAACATAAAAGGGCCAGAAATCAATGTATATTATGTATTTTTAAAAAATGACTAATTTTAACCACTGTGAAAAAGTGGTTAATTGTCGTTTTGTAATTACAAATCTATCAATTATCCACCAACCATCCATTAGATTTATTTGATGAACTATCTTCCAAACATTATCACTGGGATATTAGAAAACATACAATCAATAATCGAATAAAAATAGAGAAGAGCACTTGCAGAAAAATAAAAGTCAATTGAAGATCAATTGCAAGTACTTTAACCTTCAAATTAAGGAAATAATATTAAGGGTACCCATAGAAAGACTTAATATAATAAAAAAGGCTAAACAATTAAAGCAGGAAAGTTATAGGGCGGACACAATTAAAAAATATTTGTATATTCCTTAAAATATATAAATATAGACATTCAAATAATTTTTTCAAAAAAAAATTGAGTGTGGGCATGCCCATATGTAGCTTTGTCAGTGTTTCCAAACACCTCTATCCTCAAATATACTTGAGTTTCTCTCCAACCAAATTATTGATATTATGACAAAAATTGCATAATGCCAAAGGATCACTCTTTTCTCATGCTTTCCAAAACCCTCGAATTCCTCCATGAGCATTGAAGAGAGAGAGTCTTGGGAATCTCAACCATCTCAAGCCAGTCTATTAAAATTGCTTGGNTCGGTGTGGGTAACAGTTAAAATTCTAAATGTTCAGAAACATATAATTTCATTAATAAAACGCTAAATAAAGGTGCAATCCATATACATGAGTGATATACAAAAAGAGTCAAAAAAAAAAAGTTCACTATAAATTTATCTATAAGCCCTAACGAAAAAATTTTGAACCAAAAATTGGGCTCAATCACANAATAATCGAATAAAAATAGAGAAGAGCACTTGCAGAAAAATAAAAGTCAATTGAAGGTCAATTGCAAGTACTTTATCCTTCAAATTAAGGAAATAATATTAAGGGTACCCATAGAAAGACTTAATATAATAAAAAAGGCTAAACAATTAAAGTAAGAAAGTTATAGGGCGGACACAATTAAAAAATATTTGTATAGTCCTTAAAATATATAAATATAGACATACAAATAATTTTTTCAAAAAAAAATTGAGTGTGGGCATGCCCATATGTAGCTTTGTCAGTGTTTCCAAACACCTCTATCCTCAAATATACTTGAGTTTCTCTCCAACCAAATTATTGATATTATGACAAAAATTGCATAATGCCAAAGGATCACTCTTTTCTCATGCTTTCCAAAACCCTCGAATTCCTCCATGAGCATTGAAGAGAGAGAGTCTTGGGAATCTCAACCATCTCAAGCCAGTCTATTAAAATTGCTTGGACCGCAAAAACAGAGTAGGAGGGTAGTGAATAAAAAGTTGATCAATACTCTTTCTAGCACATTCACACATCACACACTACTGTGGTGAAATGCAAAGAAGCGGTTTTCTTCTCCGCATCACATTAGTTTATTGATCCTACCAAAGCCATGCATAAACTTGCACCTTACTCGGAACTTTAGCCTTCCAAATTATCACAAAGGGAGAAACATTGGATATAACAATCAACTTATCAAAAAACTATTTACATGAGGAAACCCCTGAAGACTCAAGAATCCTTTTTCTTTTATCAGTTAATTCATGACACAAATTGAAGTCATTTATCAAGAAAAGAAGTGACCCAATTCTATATCTGTCATCAAGATGCTTACGGAACTCCGGATCCAAAGATATTGATTGATGAGATTAATGACACATAATGCAATAGAAGGCCCATGAAAATGAGATAACTAATAAAGATGTGGGAACATACAACAAAAAAGATAATGGCCCAACCAAAACATCCTGTAAAAATTAGGCCATATTTGATTTAATTTTCGGNATCAAATCAAAACAATTTAATCTAACACATAATGGAGGACTACACGCCCTAGTTCCAATTCAACATATAAGAATAAAACAAAAGAGTGGACTGCAAGCCCCAATATCAATTAAATATATATAACAAAAAAAACATAGAAGAGGACTACAAGCTCCAATTTCATTTCAACATAAAAAAATAAATATAGGATTACAAGCCCCAATTTCAATTCAATATATAAAACAATATAACACAGAGAGAACTACAAGTCCTATAAATTTTTTAAAACTTTTCAGTGGGGGCAAATGTCTAACAAATTCTAAAATTTTTGAAATTATACTTGCACACCAAATATTTTTAAAATTCCTGGGCAGTTGCTCCCATTATGGATCCACCACTGATCATAGCACAATGGTGAAAGTGCAAACTAGCATTATTAAGGGAGGTGTGGGGTCAAAGGTTCAAGTTGCATTGCTTACTAGTAGAAACAATGATTCTACTATTTTATTCATTTGGAAATAATGTGTCCAAGAGTTAATAGGATGGAAAAGATGTCCAACCATAAAAATGGAAAAGGTAAACTCAAATCATAAAATATTAGGGGCACATGAGGTCTCTGGTTTACCAATATAGAAAAAAGCGGGACACCGTCAAAAAACGATCTAATCCCATAAACATTACTTTCAAATAGAGGTGGAGCCATAAACTTTTTTTAGGGTGGGCACGATAATTACATATTCTAATTTTTTTTCTCCTAACAAATCACAATAAATAATACATTTATATTATCATATCGTATTTGATACATGAAATCCGTTCAACATAAAAGGGCCAGAAATCAATGTATATTATGTATTTTTAAAAAAATGACTAATTTTAACCACTGTGAAAAAGTGGTTAATTGTCATTTTGTAATTACAAATCTATCAATTATCCACCAACCATCCATTAGATTTATTTGATGAACTATCTTCCAAACATTATCACTGGGATATTAGAAAACATACAATCAATAATCGAATAAAAATAGAGAAGAGCACTTGCAGAAAAATAAAAGTCAATTGAAGGTCAATTGCAAGTACTTTATCCTTCAAATTAAGGAAATAATATTAAGGGTACCCATAGAAAGACTTAATATAATAAAAAAGGCTAAACAATTAAAGTAAGAAAGTTATAGGGCGGACACAATTAAAAAATATTTGTATAGTCCTTAAAATATATAAATATAGACATACAAATAATTTTTTCAAAAAAAAATTGAGTGTGGGCATGCCCATATGTAGCTTTGTCAGTGTTTCCAAACA